ACAAAATGGGACCTCTCAAGCTGTGACTGTCAGAGGCACTTTGACACCACTAGACCTCTGGTTTCTGAGGCCTGAAAACCGTGAGACTTGTGAAGAGACCGAAGTGTGTTCAGGGCCAGATCCATAACCCAGCCATCCAACGTGTCTTTTCACAGCCTCGGGGACTGCTGGGGACAGCCAGACTAAGGTTGTTCCCCAGAAAGGCACAGGAAAGGGTAAAGTTTCTCGCACCACAGCTGCATCACCATCTGAACACTTCCCCTTTCCTGACCACATAGCACAAAGATTTCAGTTTTAAATTTCGATCACGAGGCCCCTACACATAGAGCAGAGTTAATTGTCCTGAAAGACAGTTAAGTTCTGCTTTCTGATTTTGGGCAGAATAGTTTAAAATAAGGAGGAACTTTGCCCCTTTGAGGCAAAGTGGATCACACCAAAGTGCCCAGGTTTGGTACCAACCCATGGCACCAGCCCCATCCAATGACCACTCAGATTCATGTGGCTGTTTTCCCCCCATGGTTCAGCAAGGAGTTCACAGAAGAGCTAGAAACAAATCCATTCTTTTCCCACCCAACACTCCTCACGCTGGGTCAAAATGTCCCCCAGCCCTCCCCAGCTCATCATTGGTCCTAAGGAACCCCAGGCAATATCACAGCTCCATCAGAGGGGCAGAAAGAATGAGCCTGAGGAGGTGGGAAGCCTGTCCCGAGCCCTTCTAGAAGTGGATGGATGACCACAGATATACTTACTGCATGTGCTAAAAAATAAAATAAAATAAAATAAAGCTCTTGGTTAAGCAGCTTTTTCCACCATGGATGCTGCTGTGAGTCAGACTGACCCCGTGACCCATCAGTGTAGTTCTGCTGACCCAGAGTAGGGAGGAGAGTTTCCACGACTCACTTTTTACACGAAAAATCTCCAACAAATCGTTTGCAACTCACTACAGTTTTTATCCCAGTGAGGAATTTAAATTAAAAAAATAAATGTTAAGGAAAATTTTATTTTTTAAGTATCCTGATTTTTCTCTGACTGAGGCTTCAAAACAAACATTCCCAAACCACCCATCACTGGCACCAGGGATTTCAAACCATTCATAGATGGAGGAACTGTTGTGTTTGTTGGTTTGGGTTTTTTTTATGGGTAAATTTATCACTCCCAATTACTAAAAATTATTTAAAAGTGATACTGTGATTGCTTGAGCTTCCAATACACCCTCTCACATCACTCAGCACACCACCGTAAGGTTAAAACCAACTAGCTTTTGGTCTTGGATGCACCAAGCACGAAGAAGACAGATTAAACACAGACAAAACAAATGCTCCAGGATGCCCAGACCAGTGCAAGTATCTACTCAAAGCAGAGATTACACTAATACCCCAAAATATATTTGATTCATGCTCCTTGGAAACTCCCAAGTCACAAATCCAAATATACTTGCAAAAAACACCTGAGACAGGGAACAGGCAGCCACCATGAGCTTTGGAGTGCTGGGATATTCTCAGCAGAGGCCAGGTGGGAATCCCAGAATCATCTGGGTTGGAAAAGCCCTTGAAGCTCCTCCAGCACAACCATGACCCTCCCCTTGACCGTTCCCAACTCCCCCAGATCCTTCAGTAAAGCTCCTGAATGACCTATGATCAGCTCAACCACACCCCAAGAGTGTGCAGGTGCAGAGAAAGCCAGGGATCAGCTGGGGAAATCCTGGTCTGGCTTCATCTCTGGCAGGTAGAGCAAACCCTGCCATGGATCAGGCTCCTGGGCTTCTCCTTGGACAGTCCCATTGACCTGTCTACAGATCAAATTCTGCTCTCTCCAATCCACTGTTCCTGCTAAAAATACCTGGGCCATAACTTACCTTTATCCTCCTCTCCACGATAAATAGTGAATGGGAAAAAGAGGGCAAATAGGGTTTTCACTGCAGCAGCCCTTAAGGTAACCTTTTAGTGATGAAGTCCCCAGGACTTCTGGTGGTGCCAAACCCTCTCTGGAAGCAGAGGTCTGTTTAGTGACAACAAAGCTGAAGGAGAAGGTCAGCAGATCATAAGAAGATGCTGGGGGGGCTGGAGCCCCCCCTGTGAGGACAGGCTGGGAGAGTTGGGGGGTTCAGCTGGAGAAGAGAAGGCTCCGGGGAGAGCTTAGAGCGGCCTCCCAGGGCTGAAAGGGGCTGCAGGAAAGGGGGGAGAGACTCGTCATCAGGGGTGTGGGGATAGGGCAAGGGGGAACAGCTTTAAACTGACAGAGGGGAGATTTAGATGAGCCCTAAGGCAGAAATTGTTCCCTGTGAGGGGGGTGAGGCCCTGGCACAGGCTGCCCAGAGAAGCTGTGGCTGCCCCCTCCCTGGCAGGGTTCAAGGCCAGGTTGGACGGGGCTTTGGGCAACCTGGGCTGGTGGAAGGTGGCCCTGCCTGGGTCAGGGAGTGGCACTGGGTGATCTTTAAGGTCCCTTCCAACCCAAACCACTCTGATTCTGTGATAAGGTGCTAATGGCTGAATTTACCAAAATAACCACACACTTGGACCTAATTAGTAGGTGGTAAAAAGCAGAATTGGAGGTAGGCAGATGTCTCACAGCCTGAAGCACCACCCTTGGGAACTGTGGAGTTAAAATAGCTTCAATCAATTCCTTGTTTGTGGGGGTTACGCACATCCACAGCTCCCCCAAAAGTGGAAAAACCCACAGATATGATGCTGAGTCTGGTGAGTAAGTGAAGTTGCTTTTTCACATTATTTAAGAAGCCCCTATTTGTTATTCTGCAAAATGTCTCTTTCTTCACTCCCACACTCCAATCAAATGACCAGAGATCCAAATGAGGATTTATTGACTTTTTAGGACATTTCTAAGCGCTAACCTTTGTCGAAGCACCGTAAGTGCACCGACTGCTGATTACACAGGTGGTGGATTATTTCCCATAATCATTTCCAAGCTGGGCAAGATTTGCAGCGTGCAATGCCCAAGCATGAATTACTTCTTATAGAGGAGGACTCTCATGTTCTTTGCAGATCTTGTGTCTTGATAAAGATCTGGAGCCTTGTGCTTGGTGAGCCCCAACTGCTCGAAATGTTCTGAAAGAGCAGAAAGGAGTCAGGTTCCTCCTTCCCCACCCTCTTAAAACCTGAATTCCAGGTTCTGCACTTCCGCTGCAGGAATGCTGTTGCCACACAGCATCTGAGCACCACAAGCTTTGGGGTTGCATTGTTCTTCCTAGTATAAAAATAAAAACAAAGGGCTGATGTAGGTCGCCCCAAATTCAGAGGCTATAGGCAGGGAGAGCGATAATTACTGATTGTCCGTGGATCCAGACGACCTAATAACTTCAATCACTATTAGAGAGTTTTCCTACAGCAGAAGAAAAGGTACCAGAGACATTTCTAGGAGGGAAATAAAGCTGTTGCTTGATTTTTTACAAAGCCAAACAATGATGCTAATCTGTGTTATACCAGAGCTGAAGTTCAGGGGATTTCCACACACAAATAGCCGGATGGATGCTCTGACGTTTCTCTGCAGGTATTTTGAAAAATCACCACAAAACAAACATACACGGCAAGAGGACGTTCCTTGAGGCACAGCAGTAAACTGCGACGTTCAAGCAAAGGATATGAGTTACCTGGAACACACACAGCACTGAGCCCCCAGAAAGAAGGTGAAGAACTGGGAGGGGGAAGCTCCTCCGTACAACCCTGTATTTACAGAACAGGGCACAACACTCCACGAAAGCTCAGGGTTTAATTCAAGCAGTATTTCCATTTTTTAATTTCTTTTTCCTCATGTAGCTTCTCTCTTCGGGAAGAGTTCTTCCCTTTAATTCTTCCTTGCTTCAAAAAAGTCCTTCAAGTCCTTCTGCCTTTCCCATTCCCCACCCCTGCTCGGCTGGGCGATGGGGGAAAAGCAGAGCAGGGGGGTGCCACTACGCTGAGCACTAACCCGAGCCGCGCACGCCTCAACCCTCGCTCTAAACCAGCACGTTGAAAGCCTCCTTTGCAAAACACCCTTTTGAAAATACTCAAGTGCCACAAAGCAGATGTGAATGCACAAACCACGATCCAGCTTTAACTGAGTCCCTTCTCCCAGAGCAGCACCTAAGACCTCGGATGAAGATGGGGGTGGGTTACGCAAATTTCCCCATGCAGGGTAAAAGCCCGAGACTGGTTCCCAGAACAATCACCTCCTCTTCTGAGCAGCCGCCTACCCCAGGCCCTGCTGTCACTGTCACAAGGCTGCCGTGCCATGAGCCTCTGACACCGAGCACCCCAACTCAACGGGAGTCAGACTAAAAAAATACAGGACCCTACCCTTACTTTTTTTGTTTGTTTGTTTGATTGCTTGTAAGTAATTACTGAGGAAGCCATTTGGAAAGGCGTAATTGTAGCAAAATGCAGTTGGAAGAGAGTTCTCAGCCACTTTTCTCCCCCAGACACTCCACACCCCAAACTGGGAGGGCAGCCCCTATGCAATAACCTCATCCTGCTGCAGTCAAGCAGCTCCAACCACAAAATCAGCTTGTAGATCGCTTTAATGACACGCCTTTAAAAAAAAGACTCAAAACTTTACTACATTAAAAACACCCCACACAAATCTCCTGAACTCCACCACCATTTTTTTCCGTCAGAAAGTTAAATCCAAATCATTTTGTATTTTAAAATACATACATAGGGTTTTTGTTTCGGTTGGGGGGGGGGGGGGGGTTT